AGTTTTGTTCATTGAATTCTCTTCGCTTTACATTAAACATCGTAACAATACACCCAGTAATCTGTTTAATTGGAACTCGGACCACTTTTAGGAATATCGTATTTAAATTAAATAGAAATAAGATAATTCGTATTCAAATTTTCAAAGATAAATTTTAATTATCGGTTTTACATTTTATATTTATAATAGCTATTTTTTTGTATTGGAAATGAAATTAAAAATTGATTTTCGTGTTAAATAAAATAATGAATTCCACTGTTAAACAAAGGACTCTCACTACCTCGACTTTGTTCGCTTGCAATTTAATAATAACTAGTATATTCAGAGCATTTGAATCTAAGCAACATTTATATACGAACTAGCTTTTGCCCGCGACTCTATCCGCGTGGAATTAAAAAATTAAACAAAAGTGAGTAGCCTATGTGTTCTTCCAGACTATCCCTCTACGTCTGTACTATATTTCATCGAAATCAGTTCAGCCGTTTAGGCTACAAACTCTGACAAACATCTAATCTTTCGCATTTATAACATTAGTATGATAAGTATATGATTGCAGGTAAAATGTGCGCATAAATTATGACCTAAATGATAAAAGTGCACTGCAGACTTTACTAGAACAAAAAACATTTGAAACGGTTCTTTCATAAAATGCAACCAACATTTTTAAATTCTGCTTTTACGCGCGTTTTCAAAAGCTATAAAAGTAAAGAAGAACGAAAGTCATATACTACTAGATTCGCATTAAAAATTGTATACTAAGAAACCGTCAAAATAAACATATCCAAGGCAGGTTTTAGCATTCTCGGCGCCCTGGGCGGGATATGTACAGCGCCCCCCTAACTGCAATACTTATGCCTGTAATGCCCCTCTATTTCTTTCGCCCTGGGCGGTTGCCCCACCTCGCCCTATCCTAACGCTGTTACTGTATACTGACAAACGGACATACCGTTTGTAATATTTAGTTGTTCATATATAGAAAACATGACTAGGTTAGCTTACATAGAAATCCCTTTCGTATAGTTGTAACTATAACAAAGTTTAGATACGGTAGCCTTATTACTTCCTAACTTTCATAGCCTGCGGTAATCTCATACTAGGACTAGTGTTGCGGTTTACACTGTAAGTCATCTGGTAATAAGTTATAACAATTGTCATAAATGTATAACTAGCTTTAGCCTGCAAAGTCGTCCGCGTGGAAAAAAGCAAGAGTAACCTTAGTTCTTCCAGACTATCCTCTACTTGTACATATTATTTATGTCAAATTTCACGGAGATCCGTTAAGCAGTTGAGGCTAAAAACTCTAATAAAATTCATCTATCTAAACTTTCACATTTATATTAGTAAGAAGTGAGATATATCTGTACAATTAATACATTTGTAGTTTCTGTATAATATCGAAATAAAAACAATTGTATTTATTACTGTTTTTACTCCCAACCCAAAAAACTTTCGTAATAATTTAAGGTTAGGATTTTATGTAGTCCCTTGAATTAACTTCTACACAGCAAATGCGCCCGTAACTGTTTCCTTAACTGAAAATAACGCCCCGTATCTGTCACACTGATTCTATTTTACGTCTCGGACGTGGTCTCCTAATGCAAGGTTTCTGAAGTTTCCACTTATTTTGTCATTACCTATCGATTCATTAGTGTAATGTTGACCTATGTTTTGAGTATAACTCAAGTCACGTTGCATTTTATGAATTCGTTTATTCGGAAACGAATTTCATTTATTTATCGATTCAGACACTTACGAATTGTTTAACGTGGTTAGGAAACTGGTCATAAGACATTTTGTACTGTATTCAGTAAGACTTAAAAATAGATCTCTAACTGCGGCAGTTTGCTTGCTGACAAATGTGACCTGTTAGTCGAGAGATTCTACACTTAGGGGACATTTAACGGCTATGAGTATCAGTAGATAAATATTTGTAGAAATGAGGAATTTCATAAATGGTAAGGACTAGGTATAAATAAAAGCTTATAAGTTTTTTAAATTATATTTCGCATAAAAATATCAATTTTGTTAACACAATTTTATCAGAAATAATATGAAAGTTACGCCAGATCTACAAACAATGCATATTTTAACATCTTTCTTTTTAATATCATAGTCTATATTTTATATAGCGGTTTTAATACTTTAAAAATATATCTAAACAATATTTAAAAGTAAGAAAACAGGAGATTTGAGAACCTTGTCCGTTTGGAGGTCATACTTTTGTGATGATTGAGAATACATGCTTTGTATACAGAAGTCTAAATATATTTTTTTATAATGTAAAACTAAATCTAAACTATGAAACTGAAGAAACGTCAATCAAAACAATTTTAATCGCTACACACGTTAAGTTTTAACTAAACAATCGATATAGTAAAAACTGACGAGTGCTGGCAGAATTTAAACTGTCTTCTTAAAAGATACCACTATAAGAATAAAAAGTAATTAAGCTATCCTATGTTAATTTTAAAAAATAGACACATACTATAAAAAGCTAAGAAAGTACATAAGGCAGTGAATACGTGGTTTGTAACTTGTGATAAAAAAATTAAGAGATCAAATAAATGAGATTAAATCGTGTTAAATAAAAAAAAAGATTAATTTAAAAAAAAATTAAATACAGATAAAGATAAAAGATAATCTATGCTAATATTATTAAGAGGAAACATTTATATTTTTATATGTATTGTAACTCAAAAACTACTGAGCCGATTTCAAAAATTCTTTTATCGTTAAAAAGTTACGTTATCCGTTGCTATAGGCAATATTTTTTTAATTTCAGTCAAACCTCGGCTGACACCGACATCAAAGTAATAATAAAATAAAAGTAAAGTAATAATACTTGTACAATATAGACATAACAGCTGCAATAAGGCAGGTTTACTATTTTCAAGGAATTATTTCGTTACTATTTAGTGTAATGTTTTTTTGAGAATATTTTGTTTGGATGTCGGTTTTGTTTTTTTTATTAAAAAGTTTATTTATTCTTTAATCTAGCATAAGATATATGAAGCATAAAAATTTGAGTACAAGAGTTTAGATCTGTTTCTAGAGGAAAATACGTAAATTATATTTTACTTAATACAAATTGTATCCTAATTATTATAGCTTAGCTTTAAAAATATCTTACTAAGTTATTTCTTAAATGAAACTTATTAAAAGTAAAAAATACAAAAATCTCATTCAATATAAAATAGTACAAAAAAAACATAAGAAATGCGGCAAGAGTCCTGCTCCAAATCGAAAATAAAAAATTAAATATTATACTGATAAAATGTCTGCGTGGAATTAAAAAAAAAGTGAGTATCCTATGTGTTCTTCGAGACTTTTCTCTACATCTGTACCAAATTTCATCGAAATATGTTGAGCCGTTTAGGCTACAAACCCTAACAAACATCCATCCATCCATCTAAACTTTCGCATTTACAATTTTAGTATGATAGTATAAGTATGAAGTATGTTATTATAATGATTGAGTAAATATAAAGCACATTTACTTCATACACAAGCAATTTTACTAATTTCATTATAAATACCAGTTAAAGTCAAAAAACGTGAAAAAATTTATAACGCATATTTTTGAGTACATTTATACAAAATAACACAAAAATAAAACATAGAAATACTGAACAATTACTATTGAAAATAAAATGTATATAATATTTAATTATAAATCGAATCTAAAATCTAATACTTTACCCAACTGGCGAATCTTCTCAAAATAAAATAATTTACGATCTAATTATTAATAATACCATTAAAATACTTAAGAACATAAAACATATAAGATCATTAAATTATTATACTGAAGTAAAAAAAAATCAAATACATATGAAACTAAAAAAAAAAGCAAAGATAAAACTGAAAAAAAAAGTTAAAAAATATATTGTAAACGAGACGGATAATCGAGTATTTCTTAATGACTAATTGTTAGTATTTAAAACTATTATATCATAATACTAAAGTTACATTAAAACTAGTATTGTCAGCCATTATTCTCCCGCTGCTTTTATCGACCCTTACCACTGGCAACATTTACCATGCCATAGACTATTCCGCCATTTTGTATTTATGATGAAAACCATAAACGTGTTACTTAATATTTTACTAATAAAATATTTTTATCTATTGTATAGCCTAACCACAAATATAAAAAATCTCGTAGCTTTTAAATCGGATTATTTATTACATCATTTACTAAAATTAGTTCCATAATTCCACAAAATAGGCTTTTATATAACTGGTCAGGCTATATATAATTTTTCTATGTAATTTTTTACTTCAATTATTTTTGTTATAGAAGCGAGACATTTGAGTATAATTTAAATTGCAACATTGCCACTCAAAGTCGTATAGCGATAACTTGTACTTAATGTATACTAAAAGACTCTAAGGGCCTGTCCCACTACTGACTGATGATTAGATAGCTTAAAAATGACGTCACTCACTCAGATAAGGGAACAAAATCAGATATTTTCATTACATATTTTACACGTTGGGTTTTTATTAGACAATTTACAATTTGGTGAGACAGGCCCTAAGCCAATTATCTTCGAGCGACAGTACACAATTAAACACTATATTTACTAACAATAAAATACTTTCCAATACTAAATAAGGCTATATCAGCGTGAACACATATTTTAGAATATAAGTTTAATGTCAACCATTTATATAAATTTACTGCAATTTTTTTCCTACAAACTTGATTTAAAATTGTATATTTTAAATTATATTTATTAATTAACTATCTATAGTTATAGTACATTTTGGGAAAAAATGCTCAAGTCTTTTGTGCGTTAACTGATTCTAAATATTTTTAACACAATTCACAATAACATCGATATATATTTTACAAACATCAACATTTAAGATTTCAAATGTTTGTAGATTTGAAATGAAAGGCTACAGTTTTACAATAAAACTATTGGTAAAACAATATTATGAAAGGAACTTGAATGTTACCAGTAAATAGTTTCTTGTTGTAGTATAAATCGATATTTTAAATTTAAATAAAGTTTGCAAGGAACAAGCATTTAGTATATCACTAATTTTTATGTCCAGTTATTTAATATACTCCAATATAATTTCATCATCTACGCAAGCCTTCAAATATCGATATCTCGCAACACTATAAATATATAACAGTTCAAAATGTTTAATGTCTTCGATTAGTGACAGTCACATCACCTAAGTATTGATACAATCGATATCGGTTACCGGGTATCGGATCGATATCGACATCAACCATTGAGGTGTCGATATCGATATCGAGTATCGATGTGTCGATATCGAGTATCGATGTATCTAGTCACAAGGGCGGCAGATACAGCAGGCGGTAGGGGTCGCGGTGCGGGTCGCGGCGCGCGCGTCACACGGCGGCGGGAGAGGCCGTATGTCAGTGCCACTTCGATTTCTGAGCGAATATGTCCGCGCGCAGATTCTGAGCGAAGCAGATACCCAAGATCTATAGAATATACAACAAAAGAATCCTTTTTTATTAAACGTTAATCAAAAAAATATAAAAAATAAACCTTGCCAGTAAAGTCATCTCTATTTTGTTTAACACAAGAAAACAGTGTAAAAATATTAAAAAGCCAAGTGTAGCCTGACCAGAATACAAAATTCTCGCCTGTTGCTAAAAAAATTCATACACATATTTAAATGTTTTTTTTTTCAAGTTTTATCAGCAATCAGTCTTTAAAACTTCAAGTAAGTGTGCGGAACGATTAATTTTATCATAGTGTTTTTTCCATAGAGAAAATTCTTTTACAGAAGACCCTAGCGGATCTTTCTTTTTACACATATATGAAAACCATGCAATTAAGACCCAATTGTTTTCAATTCCCTCAGGCCAAGATTTGTATATTCTCGGTTAGACTAAGCAGTATCTACACAAATAATTCTACTCCAGTTGGCATATACAGTGCTACTACGGTACAAAACTTACTTGTGCAAAAGCGGTACAAACAGCGGATGTGGCTACAATCAACAGGTTTCGGTCAAACCATTCCTCCGCAGCCTCTAAGCAGCCTTTGTCATATATTATTTTAGCAATGTCAAAACTCTAAAACAAAACAAACAAAGTATAAACTACCACATAAACATCACTTCTATTACATTACTTAAAACTTACAAAAGCATTTATATTCTGTATCATTGATACAGAAATTCACATATTTAAATGAATAAACCAAAACGAATCCGTACAAAACTTCAAACACACCAAAGCTTTACCAAACCAACAGATTCTACTCATGAAGCCAATAGTACAAGTCAATTAAAAATTCAAAAACTTTCTATTAGAAGCAGTCAATTTTTGACAAAATGTAACAGATACTGGCAACACAAACAGTCAAAGATAAAAAAGACATGCAACAGTGGCTCCATGAACGAGTTGCGCGTGAGTATTTTTGTACCGTAATACCGGTTTACACTTGGCCAGTCCAGTTTGACAGTAGGCCAGACTTGAATTGTATGTACGCACTGCCGCCAGTTATTGTTCCCGTTATTCCACCAGTCCAGCTATTGGTGGCTACTGTTCAACTGTGCTGGTGACGTGTGAATCAGGTATTACATGCAGCGTCTCCACGTAGATGCGCGTGCGCATGTTTGAACCTTGATAGCGAGAGGAACAAGGAAGGCAGCGGCGGCGCCCACGCAGTGGCGCAGCAGCCAGTCCTCGGCCGCCGCCACGCAGCCGCGCTCGTGTATCACGTGCTCGCTAACGTGCTGCCGTGTTACGCGTAACACACATTTCTTACATGTTATTTGTTGTTGTTGAAATTTTGTTGTTTCAATCAAGTTATTTTAAACAATACATCCACAGTAACTAACGGCCAACTACTGAAGCGAATTTTAAACGCTTCGTAAGAGCCGTATACTCTCTAATGCGTTAAAATTTAGTCGCCTAGACATCTTAGTTTTAATTTTAAAAAAATCCATGTTATTTAATTAAAGATAAGTATTTGAAATTTAAACAATGCCTTATAAGACCTTGTAACATATTATTTATACGTCGTTTCATTCACAATCATTTGGCTTCATAGGATTATATTTAAAGAAAAGTAAAAAAAAAAAACTTTGGTATACTTTAAGAAAAACTACCGCATAATTCTTAATTTTCAAAAAGTGGCATCAAATATGAGCTCTTGTGCATAAAAAAAAACAAAAGTTAATTCATAAACCTCTGAGTAATGTACATACACAAAAAAAACTATCGAATCATAATTCCTAAGAATCTCCTCATTTTTTAAAACTGTTAAAACATAAAATCAGTTTTGCCGATAAACACTAATCTCTTAAAAATACCTTAAGCTTTAAGAATTTGTAAATTAAATAATGCAATAACTTGTAATTAGCCTTAAGTTTCTGTTTTTTAACTGTAAGATGTCCCTAAAAAATAAAATAA